TAATTAGCATACTATACGAAAGGGTTGAATTTGATTTTTTTTTTCCTTAAGGGATAAATTTGGAATGTTTGATATCCTTCTGTATTTAATATTCTAATTTTATGCAATCATTGATCGTTTCTATTTGCTACAAGATTGCATAAAAATGCTCAATGCTTATACACCATAACTGTATATTAATATTTCGATCATTTTTCTATATCATTCTCATCTTAATAACAAAAACAAAATATTTATACCAAATTATAGATAATATTTTAAATTACAATTGATATTAATTAAAACAAAATACAACGAAAGATTACACAGATTGAATGTGATTATTAATTTAATAATTTATAAAAATTATATACACATTTATGGTAATGTGTGATTAAAATATAAATGTGTATATGGCATGTATGTATATAAACAGATAAATAATCAGTTTTTTTATCCTTAAATTGAACGTAAAATGTTAAAATAATAAAATAGTATAATTTTTGATTTGGTTTTTTGTTTCTTAAATTGAATAAAAAATACCAAATAATAAAATAGTATAAATTTTCTTTTTTGTTTTTTTTTTCTTAAATTGAATACAAAATGTTAAATAATTTTTCTTTTATGTTTTTTTGTTTGTTTCCCAAATTGACGACAAAATGTTAAATAATGTTTCTTTGATATTTTTGGTTACTTAAATTGAATAAAAAAATATTAAAATAATATAAATACAATAATAATAATATGAAATGAGAATAATATGAAACAATATTAGCATGGGAGACCATTTTAAAGTAAAACGTTTTAAAGTATACGAGCCGGTCGTTCCATAGATAGATGAAATGATCGTGAATCACCTCCTGAGCTTGGAATGTCGTAGTCCGTGCATCGTGCCACTCTGCATTCTTCGCATGTTGTCTGCAAGAAACTACCAACGTGTGTACTATATGTTGTATTGTATTGTATTGTATTGTATTGTATTGTATTGTATTGTATTGTATCATATAAAAGATACAAAAGAGAAATTGTATACGCGTTAGTAGAATATTTCGAAATATTTCTCTATCTCATTAGATTAAATATTATTACAATTATATTTAGATTTTGTAAAATTAAATCTTAAAAAAAAAAAAAAAACAAACAAACCTTTGCATTAGAACAAATTCAAACATTCGATTCAATCCGATTGAATGTTTTCAATTGAATTACATTTCAAATCATACTTTTTTTTTTTTGAATTTTACTTTCATTTATATAAACATATTTATTATATTAAAATCATTAATAAACTATAAATTATTGATAATCATTTGTTAAAATAATTGTATAAAGACGAAAAAAAAAAAAAAATAAAGAACTAAACAAATGTTGATCAAATATCTCTGGGTTCTTTTGACAACAAATCGATGTTTCAAACGTTTCATACGATTTTTATCGATTGATTGATTGATTGATTGATTGATTGATTTATGTATTTATTTATATATTTAGGTAAAAAATATCACTTTATTTCAATTATCTTCATTATCTGTTATTACAAAATGAAGCTGGTTTTAAACTATCATTGATAAATGCTAAATCAATATATAAATATATAATAATATTAATATTAATATATATATATATATATATCGATGTAGATCACAATTGAATTTCAGTGGTTTTTTTTTTTAAAAAAGATCAATGATAATACGTTTATAAAGATAGTTTTGCATTAAATGTATCTTCAATTTCTTACCACAAAGAAAAGTTATGCTATTATTATATACACGATTAACATTCCATGTGATCCAAACTTGAACTCTTTATCTTTGCTTTTTCATAAACAATCTGTACAATTTATGAATATTTTCTATTTCTATTTTTTAATAGCTTGTTTATAAATTAAATATACATATATGTGTATATATATATATATATATATAGAGAGAGAGAGATATACGTATAAATTATACACATGAATGAATTTGATTTAATTAAGCTTCTACTTATTAAAGTTTTATTTTTTCTTTTTTTTTATTATTATTATTATATTTAATAATGCAATTGTTTTTTATTTTTTTTTTGTATTTTTTGTTTGTTTTTGTTTTTGTTTTCAATATTCTCCATTTGCATCGTCGTCTTTATATAAACATGTTCTTTATTATTTTACACAGAAAAGCGATAAGCTTACAAATACAGATTTTTTTTTTTTATTTCTGTATAATAATAATAATATTAATAATATTAATAATAATAATAATAATAATAGGTTTGTAATATTGAAATTATATTACTATTGTTGTTGTTGTTGTTGTTGTTGTTGTGTTGTTATATTGTAATTGTTAATTGATACATTTAAATATAATGAATATTTTTCTTTAATAACATCATGCATATAACACTTTTCTGTGTATACAGTGTTTTTCCATTCCTATTTCAATAGATATTTGTTGTTTATAATTAAATAAGAAACATAATATTCGAACATATTCTGTTTATCTTTTTATTATTTTTTTTTTTTTAAATTTGTCTCTCTCACTGCTGCTTGGATTTTTATTTTATGTTGTTGTCTCTGCAATAGAACAAAATTTTTCGGTCTCGTTTTTTTTTTTTTTTTT